AAAATCAACACAGAAGGAAACACTAATGGAGAAAATGAGAAACAAAAAAGGCATAAGACATAAAGACAACAAATAAAATGGCAGAAGTTCTTCCTTATACTAATTATTTTTTTTAAGATTTTTTTTGACGTGGACAATTTTTTTTTTAAGTCTTTATTGAATTGGTTACAATATTGCTTCTGTTTTATGTTTTGGTTTTTTGGCCACAAGGCATGTTGGATCCTAGCTCCCCAGCCAGGAATTGAACCCGCACCCTCTGCATTGGAAGGTGAATTATTAACCACTGGACTTCCAGGGAAGTCCCATACTAATTACTTTAAACGTAAATGGATTAAACTCTCTAAACAGAAGGCAAAGATTGGCAAAATGGATAAAAGAGAAATAAAAATAAATGATCCAGCTATATGCTATCTATAAAAGACTCACTTTAGCTCCAAAGACACAGATATGTTGAAAGTAAAAGGACAGAAAAAGACATTCTGTGCAAATAGTAAGCAAAAGAGAATTGGAGTGGGTATTAGATTAGTATTAGATAAAATAGACTGTAAGCCAAAAATTGTTTTAAGAAACAAAAATGTACATTACATATTGATAAAAAAGTCACTTCATCAAGAAGATATAATTTATGCACCAACAGAGCCCCCCCAAAATATATGAAGCAAACATTGACAGAATTAAAGAGAAAACTGGATATATCTATAAGAATTGTTAGAAACTTCAATATTTCACTGTCAAAAAATGGATAAAACCTTTAGACAGAAGATCAATGAGGAAACAGAAGACTTGAATAACACTATAAACAAACTAGACCTCATGGACATATATAAAACACTCCACCCAACAACAATAAAATATATGTTTCTCAAGGGTGCAAGGCACATTCTCCAGGATAGACCATATGTTAGGCCACAAAACAATTTTCAGTACATTTTAAAAGACTGAAATCATACTAAGTATCTTCTCTGACCACAATGGAATGAAGCTAGAAATCAAGAACAAAAGGAAAAGTGGAAAATTCACTTGTGGCATATTAAATGTGGCAATTAAACAACACACTCTTTAAAAACCAATAGGTCAAAGAATAAAGTATAAGGAAAATTTCAAAATATATGATCCAACAATTCTACTCCAAGGTATGTATATATCTGGAGTATATATTTTCAAAATATTAAAAAAGCAACTCAAAGAGAAACTTGTATATCAGTGTTTATTGCAGCATATTCATAATAACCAAAAGGTGGAAATAGCCCAAGTGTGCATCCACAGATGAATGGATAACAAAAATATGGCATACATATACAATAGAATATTATTTAGACATAAAAAGGAATGAAATTCTGATACATGCTATAACATGGATGAATCCTGAAAACATTTAACAAAATAAGCCAGGCACAAAAGAACAAATATTGTATGATTCCACTTATAAGAAGCAGAATAGGTAAATTCATACAGAAAGTGAGTAGATGAGAGCTTACCAGGAGCTGATGGGGAGAGAGGAATAGGGAGTTATTACTTACCGGTTAGAGTTCCTCTCTGGAGTGATGAAAAAGTTTTGAAGATAATGGTGATGGCTGCGCAACATGAATGTAATTAATGCCACTGAAGCTGTACATTTAAAAATGGTTAAAACGATAAATTTTATGTTATATATATTATTTAAACATTTTTAATAACAATTTTATTATGGTAAAATATACATATATATTACCACAATAAAAAATGTAATGTATTAAGATTTGTTTTTTCTGAGGGAAAATTCACAAGAATTTTAAAGAGAATCTTACAGAGTAAAAACATGACTTGCTTTGTTGTTATGAGCACATGTACTTATGAGTCAATCATACATTTGCACAGCTTTAGATCTCGAAATGTACCATTCATCTGCCCTTCTACCAAGAAGACTGCAGAGTGTTTACCAAGGTAAAGAAATGAACAAGCTTTAATGATTCTCTTCTGACAAGTTAAACAGAAGAAAAATATAGGATATAGGCTGCTAAAATTTTACTTTGAGAGGCTATCTCAGGAAGTAATCTAAATAAGTGTATGATGGTATATTCGTTGCTTTTGGAAAATAGTTAGATGGCTGTGTAATTTTTAGTGAAAAAGCAAGGTAGCACTGAATGTTAAGAATCCCAAGCGTTAATATCTGAATATTTCTCTCAAAAGAAATCTATTACTGGGGAAAGTGGCTAAATAGGTTAATTTGTCAGATGAATTATTCAAATAACCACTAGAATATACCACAGGGAAGAAGACAAACCCTCAAGGAAGGAGAAAACAGGACAAGATGCAAGTAGTACAAAATGTTGAGAAACATATGGATGAGATATAAAACCACAAGAGAGAACAGAACAAGAAACAAGCAGAATAAAATTTTGAAAGCTGAAAAAGCATATGCATGGACTGGCAGACTCAAGAAAGGCAAATCAAGCCAGCAGTGGAGAAAGATGAGAATCAACCCAATTCACCTCTCACAATTGCCAGTCGGCAGATGCAGTACCTCAGGGGGTACTGGACAGTGGCTAAAATAATGAGGACCTGATGAAAACTATTTGGAGGTTATATTCCTGATATCCCTTTCCCAACTCCCCACCACTGCTTGTCTGGCCCTCCCCCACACCAGCTAAAGTCCAGAGGTTTATTCTCTAGAGCAGTTAAAGCAGTTTTCTGGACTGCAGGCACTGGGTACTAAGCCAAAAGTGTATGTGTGGGAGGGGATGGACAGGATGGCCATAAAAATGTAGAGTGCCAGAAATCCTGTTCTTCTCCAATATGGCAACTGGAACACTAGCAGACAGACCCTTAGCCTCCAGGAAGGAAACTGGAAACCTCTACTCTGGAGAATCTGACCAAAGCAAGATATTCATGTGGAGGAGCCCACCGAAAAAAAGCCCACCCAGATAACCCTAAAGCAAACCCCTTCCACAAGTCCAAGGCTTCTAATCAGCTTTATAGTCCACTATATGTCTACCATAAGTAGACAGCCAAGGATTGCCAGATGTCCTAGAAAAGCCTAAAACATAGAAAAAGAAATAAATACATGAGAAGAAATTTGGAGTTAACAGATTCTACAGAAAAACAATTTCAAAAGAAAGAACACAGGGACTTCCCTGGTGGTCCAGTGGTAAAGAATCCACCTTCCAATGCAGGGGACGTGGGTTCAATCCCTGCTCAGGGAACTAAGATCCCACATGTCGTGGGGCAACTAAGCCCATGCTCCACAACTACTGAGCTCGTGTGCCTAAATGAGAGAGTCCACGTGCCACAAACTACAGAGGCCACGCACCACAACTACGGAGTCCACAGGCCCTGGACCCTGTGCCACAACTAGAGAGAAGCCCGCACACTGCCAACGAAAGATCCGCATGTCTCAACGAAGATCCTGTGTGCTACAGCTAAGACCCAACACAGCCAAAAAAAATAAAGATAAATAAATATTAAAAACAAACACAAACACTACACGAACATCCTCAATGGTAACAGAACAAATCCATAGACAAGAATATAAAATAAGAACTGAGTACTATATAAGAAAAGGAACTTTCAGAAATCATAAAGGGATCTTGAGATCTAAAAATATAGCAAAGAGTTGGAAGACTGAATCAAAGAGCTAAAGAAGAGATGGAGAGAGGGTAGGAAAACAGAGATCCAATCCAACATCAAAATATCAGTTCCAGAAAGAGAGAAGCAGAGGAGAGGAAATCAATGAACACTGAAAGTTTCCCAGAACTGAAAGATATGAGCTACCACATGGAAAGAGTTCATCAAACACCTAAGATAATGAATAAAAATAGACCCACACCAAGGCACATCGCTGCGAAATTGCACTACCCTGAGAACCAAGGTATTCTACAAAGCTTTCAAGTCACATTCAAAGAGCAGAAATCAAAATGGTTTTGGATTTCTCAACACAACTGGAAATAAGACAATGAAGCAATACCTTCAAAATTCTGAAGGAAAATTATCTCCCACCCAGAATTTTATAAAATATCAATCAAATATGATAGATACGCAAGGTCAAAAAATTTACCTATATATTGATACTTTCTCTAGAAGCTAACAAAGGGTGTGCTTCACCAAAATTGAAAACAATAAAGCCAATAAAATGGAAAATAAAAAATCCAGAAAACAGATCAGCACGGGAGAAGAGTAAATGCAAATCCCAAAAGCTTAGGCACAAGAACATAGATTTAAGCAGAATGATTCAAGAGACAGGTTAATGGTTACACTCATCAAGATCAGTGCTAGTACTGTACTCTTAAACTTGAGGAACAGCATGCCCAGGTGAAACTGGTCCTAATTATCTGTAGGTTGGTCTTTACCATGTATGATTACATGCCAGCTTTCCATTCCATCTCAGCTACAAGGATCAGCAAAGACGCTCACATCACCCTATGGAAGTACTGTCTTGACCTACTCCTTTGAGCTAGAATTTAATTCCTCATGGACTGAGAACCAGTAAATACAAAGAAGTCTACTCCCTCTGACCACATTTTTGTCAGACCATCAATTAGGCAGTCCACACTATAGGCCCTTCCAGATACCCTCTGGTGAGCCTTCTATTTAGCAGGACTCACTCATGACCTTAGCCATGAACTTCCTCAAAAGTGACTTTTGTAAACTCTCATGGAAGCTGAAGCCAGACTATGACCCAAAGACTTCGTTACGCTCTCCCTGAAGCTTTCATGTAATAATGACAATGTTGTCCTTTTATACCTGCCAACAGATTTTTCAGAAGTAAATATATTGTTTAAGAGTGTATGTGTATGTAACAAAATAAAAGAAATGCAAAGGAATGATTAACACAAAGTCAGGATAGTGCCTACATCTGTAAGAGGGGAGGGATGCAATCACAACACACAAGAGTCTTCTTAGATTCTAGTAAATGCTCTATTTCTTGACCTTCTTAGATATTACAAATGTTTCACTTCTTAACCTGATGGTGGGTATATGAAGGCTCATTTTATTATTACTCTTTAAATCATACACTTTTTGAGTTTATAATTTACTTCACAAATTTAAAAAATCATCCTATCCACTTCCTTGCTCAGATTCCAAGCTCAACGAAGACCATTCTGGTAACAGTTTGACTCTATTGTAGCTTTGCCTCCATTAAGAGAATGGACATCAGACCACCTGGCATGTACATTTTTCTTTTTAAAGTAATAAACTGGTGTGCTAATTTTTAAAATAATATTCATAAAATAATGAATGTTTGGTTGATTTAATGACTATGTCCTTATATATGAGATTAAACTGGTTTCTAAATAAATCCTCTGAGAGTCAGTATATCCTCTGCAAGTAACCAAACTCATTCTCAGATCAGGAATTTTTCGATGCTTCAATTTCATCCCATATTGCAGCTTCAATTTTTGAAGTGTCATATTCCCTCATCATATCAAACTCAAGCCATGGCTGACTCCACTTCTGGGCTTCCTTCATTTGCTCTTCAGTTAAACAAAGGTCAAATCTGATCCCCTTAATATTAAATTTTGGACGTTCCCAGCGTTTGGACCACGGCTTGGGCTTCATTTTTACTTTCAGCTAAGGAAGATATAAGGAAAGGAACAAATTAGGCTGACAGTTGCAAGCAAAAATTCTTCTAAAAGTTTTCTTTAAGATGATTCTTAGTTTATACTTGAACTTCCAGTTCCAAATGTACAACTTATACCTGATTAACAGGAACTTCTTGGCTAGGTTCTTGTGCTATTGGCTGCATATTCATATCAAAAGTGCTGTATTCAGGAAGGGCATCTCGCAAGTATAGCAAGCTATCATCCAGCCGTTTCTGTAATTTGACTACCTGGATCTCCTGGATTCGAGGATTATAAAGTTCAAAGCAAATCTCAACACCTAAAAGAGAAGAAAACATATTCTTATAATCTAAATTCAGATTCCTGCATACACCTCATACTATAAAAAAGCTATTTCATGAAGGAATTAGCTCAGGGTTTTGCATGTAGGAAATGTGATATAAATTTGTAATCTTTAAAATGAAGATTACTGAAAGAAATAGAAATGAACAAATCCATGTAGATTAAAACATGAGAAAACCTGAATTAGAATGATAAAGTCTAAAGAAAACTGTCTTCTATAAATATATTGAGCCATTTATCTCCTCGATTTTGATAGTATTAAATTAGTTGGAAGTTTGAACAATTCTTCACTTTGCTATGTTCTTGTTTATTTCCCAATTACTTAAATAAAACTCTATCTTCTACATTTTGACTCTTATCTTCTACATTTTGAGCAACAGAATTAATGATGCAAAAAGAGTAAGTACATTTTTAAATTCTAACTTTGATTTAGAAGTCCTCTTAAGATGGCCTAGGTTTGTTAACACTCTGGAGCCCTCCATAGGAGAAACAGCTTTGAGTGTTTCCAAGATGCTGACATAAAAGGTTAATATATATCATCTGTATCATCAAACATTTAAAAGGAAGAGTGTATTCTGAGGTTTCCTGGAATAATCCCAAGAGAAATATAAATAGTAAAACATATGATCAACGTTAACATCAAGTGTTTAATATCAGGATTTAATCCAGTATCCACTGTAAATCTATTCTGTTATAGGCATTGATTTAGGAGCTGTGCCTATAGCAAAATCAAAATAGGTAAAATCCTTCTCTTCTCATAAAGCCTACATTCTAGTGGATGACAAATGATAAATAAACCAACAAGGTATTTTCATATAGTGAAGACAATACAAGGTGATGACACTGTGACTGGGGAGGGGGCAAATTTATGTATGTATGTATGTATGCATGCATGCCACACCGCATGGCTTGCGGGATCTTAGTTCCCTGACTAGGAATCGAACTTGGGCCCCTGGCAGTGACAGCACTGGGTCCTAACCAGTGGACCACCAGGGAATTCCCAGGGGCAACTTTAAATAGTATAGTCAGGGAAAGCCTCTCTGAAAAGATAACATTTAAGTTGATACTATAAAGAGCCAAGAATGCTCCAGTCAGAAAGAACAGCAAGTGCAGAGGCTCTGGGGTCTTAACAAACCTGCCATGTTGGAAAAACTAGAAAAAGGTCCATTTGGCTGGAGCATAGTAACTTGGTGGGCCAGGAAAGTAAGCCAGAGATACTGCACAGCTGCAGGCAGGAGATGATGGTGGCATGGACAAGAGTGGTAGCAATGGAGATGGAGAAACGGGCAAAATTGGGATAAAAGTTTTGGAAATTAAGCCATGAAAACTTGCTGATTGACTGGATGTGTGAAAGAGAATAACTAAAAATAGCTCCTAAGCTTTGGGTTTAAATAAATGGGTGTGGAGTGGTACAACTTATGGAAATAGAAAAAACTGTTAAAAGAACACATTGTGAAGGAAACAAAGAGTTCTGTTTTGAACTTGTTTTATGCTTATAAGATGCCCAAATGGAGATGTCAAATAGGTAGTTGTATGTGCAAATTTGGAACAAGGAAAGGGTCAGTCCTTGACACATAAATCTGGGAAGTTAATACCACATGGATGGTATTTAAAGCCAATGGACTAGAAAGAATCATCAAAGTAGGAAGTATCAATGGGAAAGGTACAGGCAGGTCACAAACAGTCAAAATGTTAATGGTAGAAAATAGCAAGAGAGAACTAATACTTTTGAGTATTCTGTGTCCAGTACCTCATATAGAACATCACAATAAACTGACCATAACCCTGGGAGGTAGAAACTATTATCTCAATTTTAAAGAAAAAAAATCATCTCAGGTCTATCACACCTTTGCTCCTGCCTTTCTATTATAAGATTTCTCCAAGTACACAACCTGATTGTTGGCCCAAGTTTCTGTAATCAAGTTCTGCTGAGTTCCTACATGCACAGCACCACAGGTCATTATAGGATAAGGAAGACAGCAATGATTCTCACATGTTCAATTTCTTTCAATATACTACTTCACTGTTGGGGACCATGAAGCACACAACTTTAAGTATGAAAAATGTACTGTTCCTGCCAATTTTTTTGTCTTTATTTCTTAAAAAAAGTTTTTTTTAGTTTTATTCATGTTTATTTTATTTATTTTATTGAAGTATAGTTGCTATACAATATTATATGTTACCAGTATATAATATAGTGATTCACAATTTTTAAAAGTTATACTCCATTTATAGTTACTATAAAATATTGGCTATATTCCCCATGCTGTACAATATATCCTTGTAGCTTATTTTATACATAACAGTTTGTACCTCTTAATCCCCTATCCCTATATCACCACTCTCCTCTTCCCACTCCCCACTGGCAACCACTGGTTTGTTCTCTATACCTGTGAGTCTGCTTCTTTTTTGTTATATTCACTAGTTTGTTGTGTTCTTAGGTTCCACATAGAAGTGATAACATACAGTACTGGTCTTTCTCCATCTGACTTATTTCACTTAGCATAATACCCTCCAAGTCCATCCATGTTCCTGCCATTTTGATTCATAATTTTTCTAGAATTTTACCACTTGTTCCCCTATCTTATTGACATAGCAAATGTAATTTTGCGTTTTAAAAAATTCCTCCAATTCTTATAAAACTAATAATTGTGGTGACTGTTGTAATATAAAGCAAAATGGGGGCCATTCATTTTAGGAGAAAGTTAACTTGCAAGGACATCATTATGCTTATCTTAATGTTTTCAAGGGTTATTTGCTCCTAAAATGAATGCCTCCATACTGCTTTATAGTCACTTGTCTCCTCCTTTGATGTTGCCATGATTTGGAAAGTCTACTTCTAATGGTTGTTGTCCCTGTAACAAAAGAAGCCTTCAGGAGAAAGCAAAGCACCAACTATATTTACTCAGCAACCTCAATTCTCATACCATTCTTAGGCCACAGGCTCCATGTCATCCCTCCGAGCTCCCTTTCACTTTCAAGTTCCAGATGTCTTCACCCAGGATGCAGAAAATAAAAAAGACTCCTAAGATAACATTTTCCAGAAAATCAAAATAATGAAATGAAACCTACCTTGTCCTTCAATAGTATTCCTAAGGATAAAAGTAGCTCCAAGTCCTGTTCCTGATCTCTGGATGCAAATTCCCAGAAACTGGCTGGTTTTTCCATTGGCATATGGGTCAGCAGTAGTAACACGAAGAATGCTTCCTCCAAATTCAAAAGAAAAGTGAACTTTTACATGAGACGCAGAATCAAACAATAGCATTTCCAGGTAACTTCAAACTTCCTAAATATTTTAATATAATATTAGGAATAAGTACCTCATATGGGCAAAACACAGATAGGTGAAAAACAATTTTCTCTTTGTCGAGAAAACTAACCCTCCAACCACTAATAATAAAAGCATCCAGCTCTTACTGACCAACATAGAACTCTGGAATGTGCAGTATTTTTCTCCTTTCTAACATATCTTTTCTTTCTATTTGAAATTTCAGAGGATTTGTCCTTCCCCTTGGAGGAATGAATTCAGGACTCAAGAACCTGTGAAAAATATAGAGTAAAATAAATTAAAAGCAAACTTAAAAGACCACTAAAAAAGAAACCACTGCTTTACCAAAAAAAGTGAAAGGTTAGGATGCTGACATGTTTTATTCTTCCTTCTCTAAATAAGAAAAGTCCATCTTATTTCTAAAATTGTTGTCAATTCTCATGAAAATAGCTAACAACTTCTGAGTACTCACCCGGCATTGTGTTAAAAGCTTTATAAACATCTATAGCATAACTTAATCCCTACAACAACAAGGTGAGTTTGGTGTCATCATCTCCTTATTACAGATGAAGAAAATGAAGCTTGGAGACAGTAAACAACAGACCTACTACTACATTAACTATAAACTTATCAAGTCAAGATTAACAGACTTATTACTACATTAGCTATAAACTTATCATGTCTGTCAGATTCCAAAGCCTGTGACCCACAGGCCTCACGCTGAGTTGTACATGTTATAGTAAATTATGTTGGAAAAGATATAAACATATAAATCATCAATTGTAAACTAGCTTTAAAAATAATCTCCTTATTAGCCAACTGATTTTAAAGTCATTATGAAATATCTAATCTGTAGAAAAGTATAAATGACATCACAATGAAAATATATGTCCCTGTCACCCATCTCAAGGAATAAATTAACAATGTAGTTGAAGCCCCTGTGCACCCCTCCCTACCCCCATAGTTAATTACTGTGGGGTAATTAACTAAATTTTGTGTGATGATTATTCCTATGAATTTCTTCCTTTTCCTCAATTTCCTACTTTAAAATGTTTCAAACCTACCAAAAAGATGAAATAGTAATACAATGAACACCCATATATACTTCACCTAATTTCACCTACTGCCAACATTTTGCCGTATTTGCTTTACATGTACATATAATTTTTTTCCAGAACCATTTGAAAATGTCAAACAGCAAGCCATTTCATCCCTCAAACTTTAGAAGGCTTCTGCTAAGAATAAGGACTTTCTCTTACATTTATCACAATACGTTTATGACACCTAAGAACTTCAGCATTAATTCAGTAGTATCTAATACAGTTCATATTTAAATGTACCTAATTGGTCCTGGAAAAGGTCTTTTATAGCTGTTTGTTGCTCAATCCAAGCTACAATCAAGCTTCACATATTATATCTGGTTGTTAGTCTCTTAAACTAGTACTCTTCCCCATATTTGCATTTTTGTAACATTGACTTTTTTGAAGAGTCAAAGCTGATCATCTTATAAACCATCCCTGGATCTGAATTTGTTTACTGTTTCCACATACCTAGACCAAGGATATACATTTTTGGTAAAAATATTACAGAGGTGATGATGTGATCTTCTTATTCCATCACATCAGGAGACACATAATGTCAGCTTGAACGGCTATTGGGAAAACTAGGTTTGATTGCTCTGTGAAAGTAGAGAATTTCCCCTGTATATTTTTTTATACTTTACATATGTATGTATGTCTGGGCAATACAAAAATGCTACCATACTTGTCAATTCTTCTGCAGGTTGCTTTTTTCACACATCATAGTTGAAGTTCATCCATGTTAACTCTAGTTCATTCATGTTTCACTGCTGTATAATAGTCCATTATGAGAATGTATTTGCTCATTCACCTACTGAAGGATATCTAGGCTGCTTCTAAACTTTTATTACAAACATTACTTTTGTGTTCATTTTTGTACATGTCTCCTTGTACATATTACTTTCCTTAAGTTGTATACTGTCTGGGTGGGAAGGTACAGACAACCTCAAACTTACTAAATTTTGTCAAATTGTTTCCCAAAGTAGTTACTCCCATTTAACTGAATTATATTGTGTTGCCATTTAAGAGAAATATTCCTTTTCCACCTTAAAAAAAAAAGTTGTACTGAGAAATCTTTTCTGAATCTCTAGGTTCCATAAATTCAAGTTTATTTCAACTTAGAACCACAGGATATTTTAAATATTAAACACAAATACATATGCAGAGATAATCGAATCGACAATATAGAGCCCTTTCATAAAGCCTAAATCACACCAATTTTCCCCCCTAAAATTCGCTTTTTAATAAGGTTGTTATACAATTCTACAAAAACAGTTTCTGCAAATCCTAGATCATCTAAATTTACACGTACCTACAAAGTTACCACTGCCTGCTTAAGTGAACCAGGCTTTTAAGCACACTGTTTTGAAGAGCAAATTTAAGAAACAAATTGGTAGAAATTTTTACCACCGTATCGCTTTTACAGGGACACTAAAACACAGTTAGTTAGGAAACTAAAACAGGGTGAGTTCTGGCCAATCCATTTCACCTAGGGAGAAAAGATCCGTTCCTTAACGTCAACAGGTAAAATACAATGTATTTCACAGAAAAATTCTCGATACGGGCCAAAGAGCTTCAAATCTGGGGAATCCCTACTTGAAATTCTGATCTAATATGACTGCAGAGAAAGTTCAATGCCGGCTTGGGAGAAGCGAGGAAGTCAAACCTGAGTTGGGTGCGCTTCACGCATTCATGAATCCTGCACACAAGCTCTTATCTGGGAGTTCCAGACCCCAGGATAAGACCCGTTTCAGACCTCGGAAGCAACTACAGGTTCTAGAGCGCACAGACCCAAAAGGCACGAATCGCGTCCAGGTCGGGGCTCTCACCTGCTTTCCCGGCGCTCAGGACCGCGCTTGGCCACGATAATCGGTTTCGGCGGTGGCTGGAACGCGCCGGGCTCAGAAGGTCCAGTGATCTGCCGCCGGCTCGGCCCCGCGAGGGCCTCTGCAGAAGCGCACCACAGAGGTCAAGACTGCTCGCGCCAGCCCAGAGCTCCCGCGAAACCTTGCAATCGCCCCCAATGCGCGGTCCCACGAGAGGCCTCCTCCCATGTCGCCCCTGACTTCCAGAATCGCCTCCCCCTAGCCTGACCCTAAGCTCCTTCTGTCCGCGGCTAGCAAGCCCCGCTGCACTTACGGCAGGCGACAGAGGCCGGCGCAGGGCGCAGAGCCCAGGCGCATCGAAAGGTCCAGCCCAGGGCCATTGCAGCCCGGCAGCCCCTGGCAATAGAGGCCGCCATGCTTGCTCCCTCAGTCGAGACTACAACTCCCAGTAATCAGTGCGACAAGGTCGCGGTCACCTGAGCCAGATGGCGCCTGCTAAGGGACAAAATAGCCAAGTCTTTCTCCACCCACCCCACCCCCACTCCCCACAAGGGCCCGGATATCTTAGGGAAAGTGCACTGCATTTCTCTAGTTCTCCTCATATGCCAAGTTATATCACTCTACGGGAGTGTTCTCTCAGCCTAGAAAGATTTCCTCCCTCTTTGAATCAACTCTACCTTCAATTTCTCAGGCAAGACTTAAGTATGTCAAAATTCTCATTATAGGCTCTCATTCTGCCATTAGCAGCTCTGATGTCATCTGCAATTTTAATTTTTAGTTTAACTTAATTTTTAATTACTTGTGTAATTATTGGATTAGCGTCTAACTCCGCCATTATACTGTAAGCATGGAGTTTGTCTTTTGCTCACCATTTTCTCTCAGCATCTAGCTGGTCCTCACTCTTTGTTGAATGCAAAAAAAGGAAAAGAAAATGGTTCCTGACAGAAGGGGTGGCAAAGTCCCTGAGACTACAGAGAGCATTACTCCCTTGAGGAGCTAAACTTGAGTTTGGGCTGAGCAACTGTAGGTAGGGATTATATTACGCTGAAAACTGGGTTCACCTTTTGTTGGGTGTTGAGACAAGAGACACAACCAAGCCAATATCAGAAGGAAGGATGTATTACTTACAGCAAGTAAGGGGAACACCTGGGATCTTTCCCAAAGCAGTGTCTCCCTGCACAGCAAATTTGAAGAAATCTTAAGCTAAGGGTACATGCATATTCATGAAGGGGTTGGGCCATATATGCATATTCATGAAGGGGCTTGAAAAGGAGAATCCAGCATAGAATGTTGCAGCTGAAAGCTAGCTAAAGCAGTTTTAGTCTCCATTATTTTATGCTCTACTCACTTTCTTTCACTTGCCTCCCACAAGTGATTTCTTTTCCTAGTTAATTGCTTTTACAAATGATTACTTATTAGTTAGTGTTATATTGTGCACCTGGTATTTTTCCTCCTTTGAAACACTCCCTAACACTCCCTTCCATTGTGAGCATTCTTCTGTTGTGGAAGGGGGACCCCTTCCAGGGCTCTTGTCTAACACTCAGAAATGAATTGTGCAGGAGACAGGTGCTGACAAAGCAAGAAACTTTATTGAGAAGGGGCACCTGGGCAGAGAGCAGCAGAGTAAGGGAACCCAGGAGAGTGCTTTGCCACATGTCTTGCAGTCTCAGGTTTTGTGGTAATGGGGTTAATTTCTGGGTTGTCTCTGGCCAATCAGTGTAACTCAGGGTCCTTCTTGGTGGCACATGCATCATTCAGCCAACATGGATTCAGTGAGAAGGATTCTGGGAGGTTGGCAGGACATATGGACTGGAGTCTCCTCTCTCCTTTTGACCTTTCCCAAATCCTTCCGGTTGGTGGTAGCTTGTTAGTTCCACATTCCTTACCAGGACCTCCTGTTGTAAGATAACGTATGCAAGTGGTTACTATTGTGCCTGGCCAGGGTGGGTAGTTTTGGTCAGTGGTTCCCCTAACAACTCCCCACTGAGAGACTTCATACTCAAGATACTTCTTGGGAATTGAGGTAGTGGTTTCTTTCTTCTGTAACTACTTCCTGCTGAGAGCGGGCGTAGTCCTGCCTAGTAGAGTAGAAGTCTCTCTCTACCTGATCTAAATCAAGTTATCCCATGTCTGAAACCGCCTTCCACCCTTGTAGTAACAACAATTTATCCTGAAACTGTTGGACCCTGTAGGAGATAAACCTTGTAAGCAGTTGAAACACACAGGGGCCAAACAGGATTGTCATCACTGGGCCCAGAAAAGGAAGGCAAAATTTGGGGTGAGGGCTGCAGGGTGTGTGACTTTCTTCTGATTGGCTGGTGGTGAGGTAACAGGGTGATGCTCCAGGAATCTTGGACTCAGCCTGAAGTTACCATCCTCCACTTGGTTGGGGGCCCCAGTTCTGCAGAAGAACTCAAAGATATTGTTATGTATACTACTTGAGGAGGAACCAGGACCCTGCCCCAAGGCTGCATTTTTGTTTCTTGACTGCTCCTCCTTTCTGCATTCCCTCCCTTCCCCGATTAGTAATGGTTTGAATCTGCCCTTTGGAACTCACGGAAGGTCAAGGAAGCTGAATGAAGCCTATTTCCTAAAAACAAGAAACAAGGGACACAGAAAGGTTTTTGTATCCAAGGGGGCCCCACAGGGTCCTGCTCAGTTTCAAGATCACAAAATGGCTTAAACCCAAAATGTCTTCTCTTATGTCAAAAAGCTGTAACTGGTTCTTTTTCTCTGGGGACCCCCTACCCTATCTGCTTCCAATAGGTGGCAAAACTAAAAAGGTAAATTGTAAGTCTTGTTAAGAAATTTGAAATTTGTACTCTCAGCAATGGTGTGCCACTGGAAGGATTTCACACTCAGAGTTGTCGTGATCCGAATGCAGGTTGGAAAAGAATTTCTAGACCCAAGGAAGAATGAAAAGAAGATAGAATTTATTAGAGGGAAGGGTCACTGCCAGAACAGCGGGCCAACTTCCTGATAGCCAGGGGGAGTTGACCCTAAGCAAGGGTTTCTGGTCTGTTTTTATAGCCAGGGAACAAGAGAACCTGGGAATCATCTCCTGATTGGGCAGGGTATGTATACTTACAATGTGCAGAGCGTGAGAAGAATGGGACAAATACCTTTCCTTATTTGGGATGGGAAAGGGACAGGGCATGCTGCTTGGGAGGGCTTTGGGACATTGTAATGGTTGCAATGTGACATAGTGATAAAAGTCCTGTAACTCTTTGTTCCAGCAATATTGGCCCTTTGACTTTATCTTGTTCTTTGTCCTTGGAGCATCACAATAGTGAGATGATTACTTAGTTACTTATTGGTCATTCCAGTTGAATTAATGTCCCAAAGTACCTCAAACTCAATGTGTCCATATTGAATACACTATGTTCACCTCCAAACTTCCTCCCCAGTATTAGCTATCTCAAGGAATGGCTTCAAAATCCAATCTGTTGCTTAAAGCCAAAAATCTCGTTGTCATTTCTGATTCCTTTATGTCTCTCCCTAGGAAAAGCTCCTAAAACTACACCTGGCACCATCAACTATCTCAAATATCTTAAACTTTCTCATCCTCCCATCCATATTGCTAATCCAGGTTACCATCCTTTCTCCTCAGGATCACTGCAAACCACTGCAACTGTCTTCTCATTGGTCTTCCTGCCTCCAGTTCCCTTCAGTCGTTCTCCACATAGAAACCAAAAAGATGGCTCAGAAATGCATACCTAGTCCTTGTTTTTTCCCAGTTTAAAGCCATCCACAGTTTTCAGTTGACAGATAAAAAATCAAATTCTCAAAGAAAGCGAGCCATGTTCTGAGGACAGAATTCAAAGTACTGCGAGGAGGGACAAAGTCTTCTTTTAACTCCAGCTTCCTTGATTAGAACAGAATTTAACTTATAATAGCAAGGAATTACACAACCAAAGTTTCAGATTAGCTAATTTTAGGCTCTCTCTGCCCACCCAAAAAGGATACTTCAAACTTTTAAGAGAAGTAAAAAGGGAGGCGAGACAAAGATAATTATGACTGGTAGCCATGTTCAGAGATCAGGCTTGTCTTATTCACTTGCATTTTACCTCAGAAGATAAAGATGGAGAGATGGGCTAGGGCCACTGGTCCTAGAGAGATTAGCAGATTGAGCTGCTACAGAAGAACGGGAGGGTGGGAGTTGGAGGAATACATGATGGGTGGGCAGAATCCCATGCCTACTCTTAGGCATATGGGAAGATAAATGGGGAAATCACTGTAGCATACCAACTATGGAAAGAGATGGCTGCAGGGATCAGCCCTAGACTACCCAGAATTATTTTTTACTAGAAAACTGAATTTCACTAAGATTTGAGGAATACTAGCTTGAGAAGTATGTTTTATCTGAAAGAAAATATTCATAAAATGTAATGACTTAGACTTCTACTTTCTTTTTAGGTATTTGTTTATAGACACATATCAATGCATTTTAATTAACATTACCTAGAGAATCATGAAAGGAAAATAACAATTTGCTAGAGATGAATTATTTCTAACTGTATAATAATGTTGATTGGTTTGTTATCACAGAAGTAACACATACTTGAAGGAACTGGGATTTGATTTCCCCCTGCTTACAAGTGAATAAGTTGTTTTTGTCTCATAAACATTGGTAGAAGACATGAGACTCCTGAGACAAAGGACTTTATTACTGATGGCATAAGAAGTAAGCAGCATGAGCATCAGCATGTTTGCAAACATTTCCTTTGCCCCCACACCCCACATGTTGACACCATGGGCACAGATGCAATGGGTTTGCTTCACAGCTGAGGAACACTGAACTTAGTAAATCCTTTGCTTTTATAGCAAGCAGTAAACAAGCCTGTGCTTTGTCCTGGTGAGACATGGACATTTATCCCTCAAGGTTGCTCATTGTAAACTCAATCTTGAGAAATGGTCTGGATAGCATACCCACTAAGACACGTAGGAGCTCAAGAGACCCATGGAAAACTCTCTCCCAATAATACTTCATCTAGGAAATGTGAAAAAAAATAACAAGGAATATCTACCTCCTAAACTTTGAGAAAGGTTTATGGACGGCCACGGGAATCACACTTAAAGTTCAGGTGATAAAATTTTTGAAACTGGGACACAAATACTCCTGTTAGGTACACCTAAAACCTCTCACACGTTCTCGACCTCACGGTTTGGGATTGGGATTACTCTCTCAGGGGGGTCACTGAGGGGCCCCCATTTCCCAAATTCTCAAAGACAATCCTTCAGGTGTCCCAGAGATGGTGCTAATGTCCTCCATCTTTGAACATGGTGAGAGTTTCCTCACAGAGCCTGTCCACTTCTAAGCCCTAGCCTCTTCCCCGGTATGCTGTAAAACCTGAGCAAGTCACAGAAAAGGCTTGGAATAGCAGAGCATCCAGACTATCAGTGTGCTGGATCCTCAAGGCCACAGGCAGCCTTGGCT